GTCACTAGAATGGCTTTGATTTATGTTTACATTTTGTAAGCTCCTAGAATGCTGGTGACTCGAGAGGTGTGAGTTTGAAACTAATCTAAGGGCCTAGGCGTGGATGTCGGTAGTTTCCAGTGGCGCTTGCTGCCTCCATGGCTTTTGTTGTCTAAAAGGAACTGTAAAAAAAAACATTAAATAGCATGACCAGTGGAAGCCAAGGGAGGAAGTATTGTCTAACCACCAGTCTGCTGCTGCTGTTTGCACTGCTGTTTTCTAAGACTGCCTTATAAGCTCCCATCACCACCATGTATTTATTTATCTCTAATAATGTTACCAATTTGATGTTCCTGGTGATTTTTGAAATTGTTTGGGCAGAACGCCAACAGCTAAAACGTTTAATGTTTTGCAGCATACTCCAGTCTGATGGAATGGTTGAATTGTTTCGGTGTTTATACTATATATTTTTTTTATATTTATTGAGATATGCTAATTTATTATTACTTTATTCAGTTATTTGACTTGCCTTGAGAGTTGCTATTTTATACATCTCGTTATACTTTCTTTCAAGCACAGTGACAATAAAATAAATTCTGATTCTTTATGATGTAGTTTGGGTTCCTATTTTTGTATTTTTCATTGATATACCTAATAGGAAACATCAAATATGAAAGCAAAAAGACAGTGTTAAAGTATTTTATTTCATATTTATTGTTTTGCAAAAGCAAAACAATAAATATGAAATAAATTGAACTTTGTTCAAGTCTTCTTGAACAAAGTTTAAAGCTTTTTTTATTTTTTAAATAACTGTTTTAATTCACTAATGTTATATTCATCTTTGATTCCTCCACAAACAAACTGTTGTTTGAAAATTATTTGCACAGGCAGGTGCATCGCTCCTGTTCCGAAAGTGTGACTCAAACAGAGATAAGATCGAGATGGGAGCAAACAATCAACTGACAGGCAGGTAAATAGTGGAATCTAAAGATAAAACGATACAGTTTGGGGTCTGCTTAGGCTTTTACATCTCTCGGTTTTGCTACCGCCTTCAGGCAGCTTTGNTTTTGTGTGTTTCTTGCTTGGTGAATATGTGCAAGTGTGTGCATGTGTGTGTGTACACCACATAGATTAAAGAAGCAAGGGGGTGAAGGAGACAGCTCTGACATTTAGAAACATCAGCAGGCTCTGGCGCCCACCTGTTCATAGACAAAGACTGAGGAGGAACAAACACCAGTCATTATGTTGTAAACTGAGGCAATCCCCCGATGCTGCACCGTAGACGGGGTGACGGACTTGCTGGACTTTGAGAAGTTTTTTTGTTTTTTTTTAAATAAATGAGCAGAGACCTTAGAAACTTTAAAAGTCATGTAGCTACAAAACAATTTATTGTTGTTTTTGTTTTTTATGTCAAAATGTCCTTAATAGATTTGTATGTACTTGAACAATAATTTAGATGCTTTTCAGTAAGAAAAATATTAAACTGAATGGAGGCAATTGATCCATTGATCATTTATGAATTGTATGGAAACATTTGCAACATTTGCATACTTTAACATCCAATTTCCTCTATTAGGTCACTTTCAGATCGTCACTGCAGAATTAATATATTTATGTTTTTTTTTTGTCTTCTGTCAGACTACCCCCCAGGGCAGCTATGGCCACAATGTAGCTTCCTACAATTAGTGTGTGAATAAGTGAATGACTGAATATAGCATGAAGCGCTTTGACGTCCTCTGGGCCATTTGTCTTCATTTCTCTTGTTTTTGGGCAATTAGCACAACATGCTCTAAATTTCTATTTATCAGTATTGATATGACAAATTACATCTATTAGGTAGACATCACAGGCAGATTGCTTTCTGCAAAAATAAGCTTAACTTTGAAGGGCAATGACTGGTTCATATCATCTGGCATGATTTAAACCACTCACCCATTTTAGTACTATAGCTTGACTCTCCTTTTTTATTGCCAACTATGAGTCAGGTTAGTAACAGGACAAATGTATCAAGTGTTTAATGACATGAATCCACCTGAATAGAAATGCCTTAAAATTAGAACAAGCCCAAGACATTGCAGAAATAGGTAAAAAGTAAAGCCCCTCAAACTCAGAGAAGGCCCCGAAGACCACAAAAATTGTTACTTAAGTAACATTTATAGATGCACAGATATTTCTTGTATATGATATATTGATAGTCACAACCTATAAGAGTCCACTGACCACAGATTTTGTGAATTAGTTAGTCTTTTATGTTATTTAAGCGTTTTGACAAATGTTGCAGCTGTTTTCCTCCTTCTGTACGTGTCTGTGGTTTGGAGCACTGCGTGTGTGTGCAGTGCTCCAGCAGACGTCTACTGAGTTTGGATCTAATCAGCGGCTGACTCTGTCTGTGCTACTGTTTCAAAATAAACATGGCAGATAAGCTGGCTGGTTTACCATGAAATGAGCTATAAAGTTCTCAAAGGTTATGGTGGTCTAAACTTTGGGTGTACTTCTAAGTATATGGCTACAAGCATGCGGTTTAGATGCAAGGGTTCATTGGGAAACACAAAAAACAAGCAACATGCACAATGATCAGTTGACAAGATGACAGTCAGATGTTACAGATGAGCCAGACAAAACAATTAGTAACCAGCTGTACATTTTTCAAAGCGCTTACTGGACTCTGTTGCTGAACATCTCTGCCAGGTTTTCTCATAAATAATCTTCATGAAAAACCTTGGCTCCTACGTGTCAATCTGAAAACGTTGTCCCCCTGCATTCAGGTTTTTATTACATTTAATTCTCCAAGCAATGCACATATCTAAATGAATCATAATTAAGCTCTATAAACTCATAAAGAGCGTATGCAGTTAATAAATTCAAGCAATTAGTAAGTTACAGACTTATGCGCAAGTATACAGGAAGGGAAAATTATATATTCTTTTTGCTTTATGGATGTACAGATAACTGAGTCAAGGCCTATTTGCATTTTTTACATTTTTCAGTGACAGCATATTTTACTCAGGTTACATGAGAATACATAAGTAATCAGGGCTTCATTTTTGTTAAATCTTATGTTTGAGGAGGCATTCATACATGTATTATTATTATTATTATTATTATTATTATTATTATTTTGTATTTTTTTATTAAAGTGCAAACTGTTGTATGCATATTATTTATGGAATGCAAAAAAAAAAAAATAGAAATAAAAAATAAATAAGGTTATTGAAAATGGATTCATTTTTTGGAAGAAAATGGGGATAGAGACTAAGGTGCATTCTCTGAAATAATTTACATCCTCTCCTCAAAACAATGACATTTTTGAGCTGTAGACATCAAACAGAACTCTACCCAAGTATCCAAAATACAGGAAATACTTTACCAGTTGCGAAGTACAATAACTTCATGTTGGGTGTGCATTGCAAAAGCCAGTGGATGATATGAAATGGATATAAGATGAGCTTATATTCAGTCCCTGTTTGGACCTTGGAATTCACAATCACCAAAAAAACATTACATTCAGAAAAATCAACAGAAATTATGGAGATACACATTTCCCAAAATGCTGGGGGGGGTTTTTCAATGCAAAAAAATGTAGCTTAAAATGTACATTTTAACTTCAAAAGAGGAAATTTTTATGAACTGTAGAACGGAATAACAAGACAATGTAATCTTTTTTCAAAATTCACAACACAAGTGAAGCAGTAAAACCATTTCTTTAATTAAGGGAAATCATGCCTTAAAATGTACACTGCAATGTTCACAGCTGTGTGTCTTCATATAGTCAATGATCTAAAGTAATAATAAAGACAATGAGGATAAAAAAAAGAGCATAGAAAGAAAATACAGGGCTGAACAACTTCCTTCACCACTTTGAGTGTTAAGAGGCATCAGAGAAACTGAAATCTCTGCACATCTTTCTCGATAAATAAACTAAATAAAAAATACAAGGCCTATTCTAATTCCTGAGAGCCCTTACATTAGAAAGTCCGTCAATATGAAAACTCATCAGTCGGCACACGTTCCTGAATAATTTCAATATTCAGAGCCAATATCATCATTATGCGCCCAGAACCACTCCTTGTACAATCTTGTAAACATTTGTTAAACTTCAAAACCATACAAAGTTCACAAAACTATTTGTATTAACATTTCAGCAGAAAAATAGACATTTACTAGGCTCGTCATCAAAACTTACAAAATACACAACATGTAGCATTAGCAATGATTAGAATTTTCAAGTAAAGTCTTCTGTTACACAGAGGGTGAAAGAAGACTTTTTTGTTTTGTTTATATGGCTGCTTGGATAAGACAGACAGATAGAGTTGTATTATACCTACAAATTGAGCTTAAAACATAAAGAAAATGCAATTAGCAATACATTAAAAACTTGTTTGTTTTTTTTTCCAGATTAACCCCCTTTCTAAAACATAAACATTTGCAGAAACTAAATATATACAGTGGTAAATAGACAAAATAATGAAAAGATTTAATATAAAAGCTGCAAGGTGTAAACAATTTCCAATACCAAAACCTTACCATAAGTATGCTAAGAGGCAACATGTAAACAAGAAAGAAGCTGCCTTTTGATTTTATGAATACAGGAAACCAACGTGATTGTTAAAAAAAAAAAAAAAAAAAAAAGTTGTGTCAAACAAATAATGCTTATATCTTGAAGAACTTCTTATATTAAAAAACAAACAAACAAACAAGCATATTCATAAGATATCAGAAAAAAAACACAAAGTTTTGCCTTTTTTATGCTGCTCCATGATTGTTCTAAGAATAAACTGCATTGTTTTCTGTTATGCCTGCATTAAAATAGCATCGCCTAGACCAGGGGTGGCCAAGTCCAGTCCTCGAGAGCCACCATCCTGCAAGTTTTAGAAGTATCCTTACTCCAACAGACCGGGATCAGCTCTACAGAGGCCTGATAATGAGCCAGTCATTTGATTCAGGTGTGTTGAAGCAGGGATGCATCTGAAACTGGCAGGATGGTGGCTCGCGAGGACTGGACTTGGCCACCCCTGGCCTAGACATACATAAAGTGCATGACCATGATCTACTGTACTGAGCTCAGTGCTGAGAAGCAAAGAAAGGACCAGCTCTTTAACCCAAATTTGCTGTGCTTCAATGAACTACAATAAAAAGTTTGGAACTGGCCTTAACATCATTTTAATACATATTTCTTAGCTGATGAAGGGTATAAAAGTTGATACGCTGCAGTTTTTGGAAGTTCCTTTAGATTAGTACTATCGTACGTAGGGAAACCACACTCTGTTCACTTATCCCCTAGCTCATACTGCTCCTTTCTTGATCCTTGCTGTTAAAGGTCATACATGATTGTAATGGCATATAGCAAGTGAGCAAAGCAAGATTCAAAGTGAAGGAAACTAACATACATTAGTGTGTACTTGCTTGTTTGTGAGATGAGGGTTGAAGAGGAGAAGATAAAAGAGCAGCCCCATTAGAGAAAGGCCTAATAAAACCGCAGACGAAAACCAACGCAGTGCAACACTTTAGCTTCAGCATCAGTAAACCGTTTCTCTGCAATGGTGATAATGCGCGAAAATGACAAACAGTGCAACATGCATGTGTCTACTATGCAACAAAAATACACATTTTATGGAAACTAACTCATATGGTTTCATGCTTAAATCCAAAGAGATTAAAAAGTGAGGTACATCAGAAAGGGTGTCTGTATCTTTGTAATACATCTTTGTTGACCAATGGTTTAAATCCCTCTCTTACGAGCAAATAGGTAAGCGGCCTTTGCATTTAATTTACTAGCATGTTCAAAAGTAATTTCCCTGCATGCAATAAACTGTAATGTGCTTATTAGGCAGCCATGTTACATTTATATATTTAAAACATTTGACATTAAGTTTAATTTGATCTTAAAATATCTGGTGTCAAATGTTTAGACACTGATTTAAAGTCTAAACAGTAAACTTGTTCCAAGGCACCCTGTCTTGGAACAAGACCATGAATTCCTTGATAATTGGATTTGCACATCAAAAACCAGTATTGTAAAAAAAAAAAAAAAAGAATAAATAAAATGTTTTAAAATGCAAAGTATTGAATTGAAATACAAGCTGTGTTTCATGAAGGTTTAAACAGAAATAAGAACTTGGTATTGATGTGTAAAGAAGAACAGGACCTCCCAATGTCAGCATAGGACGATTAAAACTATGGTGCCTCCACAGGAATATCAACAATTTAGTCAAGCTTTTATTTTGAAGGTCAACTAAATTTCTTCCTATCTATTTTAGACCATGTGTAATAATAATAATAATAATAATAATAATAATAATAATAAAAACTTTCATTTTAATATATTTTGAACAAAAAAACATTGAACTTGTTTGTTGGTTTTTGTCGTTATTCTCTAAGAAGCACAACCAATTACCAAAGGATCCATGGATTAATTCAGATTGAATTAGTACATACTAATCTACATGTATAATAGAATATCCTTTTGAAATCTGTTGTATAATTTAGAAAACATTACATTTCACTTCTAAAATGTATTCGACTGTAAAACTAGTTTGACATTGTGTGGCCATTGTGTTGTCAGTGGGACTGACATGCCTCCTCTCATCTTAATTTAATTAAAATACACTTTTGTCTTTTTGTTCATCCAAAATTTCCACACTCAATTTAGTAATGCACTGGTGAGATTGTTCTAAGCTACTTCCCGTTTTTTCTTACATTTAATTGAGCCTTCACGGTACATGACTATGTTGCAGCCAAACAAAGTTTAAAACTCAAAAGCTCCAAGAAAGATCATTCCATGTAAAATTAAAATGAAAAACCGGCTAAAAGCTGGCAGCTGCTCTCATAAACAATTAATTGGTTAGAAAAGAGGAAAAAAGAAACTTATTTGTTCTAAGTTAGTTAAATAAGTACAAAATATGTCTTTGGCCCATACCTTCATGTGATTGTTCAACAGCTCCAATTTACAACCAGTAGCTTAAAAAGTAGTCTTTGATTGTGCTACACGTGCCTACAGTGCCACTGTTTTATGCACTTTCACAGGGAAGGGATGGATAGCAGGTTAATGCTTGTCTTATTCCCAAAGCTTCCCGCTTGCTTCCGTTTTGTCCCTTTTAATGGAAAGTGTGCTCCCCTCGAACTATGTGCGAAGAGAACTCGTAGCGGTCTTTGCTTCGGTGACCACAGATGTTGCACTCAAGGGGATCCCTGTAACCGTGGCAACCCATGTGGATGGTGTACATGACGTGGTCCAGAAAGAGCAGTCGACAGTGGTCACACTGAAAGGCTCGCAGCTCGTGGCCGTCTCGAGCGAACACCCGCACCCCTTCGTGGCCCACTGGCCGCTCTGTTACCACACGCATCATCCCTGCTCCCACTCCTGTCCCACTCCTGGGTGACACATCAATAACTCGCTCACCAGAGCCCACAGCTGGACTGGCTCGTGACCTGAGGCCTGCAGGTGTGCTGGTGTTCAGGTACCCCTGCCTTTCCTGAGGGCTGCTTCGAGCCGAGTCAGCCGAGTCAACGCCGCTGTTGCTTGCTGATTCCTCCTGTGATGCCTGAGGTTGCTTGTTCTGCCGAGTTAAGGAAGTAGAGCCATTCGAAGTGGGGTGGCTGGGGAAATCTTGGGATTGGGGTGGATGTGGTGGAAGTGTTTCGCAGTTTCCTGGACGCTCTGGTTGCTGGCTAAATGGTATAACATGGTGATAAAGGGGATTGACAATGGGAACAACCTCAGCCATAGATACAGATGGACCTGGATGGTGGAGCATTGGACGGAGGGTGTCCGATCCCAAGTACGTCATGGCATTGTTGATAGCCTGGTCCATCATGTGGGGTGGTATCAATTCGGGATGATTTTCATATTTCAAGCGCATCTCATGGTAGCCTATATCAGGGTAGCTGTAGCGAAGCTTTTCTCCTGCAAATAAATACATAATTTAAAATTAACTTTAAGAATAGCTGACACATACAGAAAAAAAAACAAACAAACAAACACATAAATTAAGGGAAAGCTTCCCCTTAAATGACAATCTGGAAAGCCAAACCGTTAGCAAAAATCTGCGTATGGTTTTATATTTCCTTTCTAGACCATCAAACCTGTGTTATGCTGCTATTTCACCTCTTGTTTTTCACATTTTGTGCTATATGTTGTCGTCTAATGGGGTGGAAAGCCCCATCCTTCTAGTATTGCACTGTTTAACCCCTCCAGAACAGGGATGCGGTAAGCTGTTTTCACTTGATAAGAACAATGTTATAAGTTACAGGTGTATCTAACCACAGAGTGAAAAACATTTCCTTGCCTTTGAGTCCTTTGCTTGCTCTAGCTTGCTCAATCTCTTCCTCTAATAGTGAGGCAAATAAAAAGAAAACGAAAAAAGAAAACATCTCATATAGATAGGGCTCATAGTTGCTGTGTGTTATAGGGATTTGATGCGAAACAAAAACTGGGAGGGAAAGACATATGTATATATTAAAATTATATTGTCACTACCTTGTTTACCATCAGTGAAATTAGCTGAATAAGAATAAGACTTATTTAAAATACATTGCAATAATTCTGACAAACACAAGCTTAACTGAGTATGCACTTAAACAACAATTTAAAAAACTATTTAACATCCCAATTTTAATATGTTTATATTTCAACAATAAAGACGTCTTATGTGTCACTTCAACTACTCTTGAAATGAAAAAAAAAAAATGTCATGCAAGATGATAGCAGATAATGAAATGCAAAAAGGTTGACATTTATAAAACAGTTCCTCTAAAATAAGCACCACACACAAATCAAGCTGCTGATATCTGACCTATATACGAAATACCCACCCACAAATTTCTGAGGTGTAGTGCTCTTCCTCTTGCCAACGTTAGTGGGCAGTCTTTCAATGACAGGTGGCCGATCGAAGGCTGGCATGCTGCCGGCCTCAGCCATGCCCCCTTTTGGAACTTCACCTAAAAATTTCAGAGGGACGGGATTAAACAGAGGGACGTTTTGAATGTGAAATAACCAGGTCACTAAATATTTAAGTATTTAGACAAAAATACACAACTTTTTTTTTTAACAATTTTTCTAATTTTATTTTTAAAAATCCAATTTGTTTGATGGATAAAATAATTCACAATTTAAGAAATTTAATTAAAAAAATCTTTCATTTACATTTTCATTTACAAACTTTTCAGCAAGTTATACTTTATATATATATATATATATATATATATATATATATATATATATATATATATATATATATATATATATATATATATGTTTTT